AAGACAAAGTGGGTGCATAAGCAAATGTGGTGAAGAAAGCTGATGGAGCCTGGCTATCAAAAGATATAGCATCTAGGGTCTTAAAGACTTGAAGGTAAACAAGCAGCCATCTAGCTCAGAAGCAACAAAGTCCACGTGGAAGAAGCACACCAGTCTGTGTGATCACGAGGTGTTGAAGGGATCAGTTATCAGGCATCAAAGAACAAAAAAATCATATCATTGTGAATGAGGGGGAGTGCAGAGTGGAGACCCAAAGCCAATCTGTAGGCAACTGGACATCCCTTACACAAGGGTCATGGGGAAGAGACGAACCAGTCAGCGTGCAGTGTAGCAATTATGAAACATACAACTTTCCTCTAGTTCCTAAATGCTTCCTCCCCACCCACTATCATGATCCCAATTCTACCTTACAAATCTGGCTAGACCAGGATGTACACTGGCACAGATAGGAACTGGAAACACAGGGAATCCAGGACGGATGATCCCTTCAGGACCAGTGGTGAGAGTCGATACTAGGAGGGTAGAGGGAGGGTGGGATAGAAAGGGGAAACAGGTTACAAGGATCTACATATAACCTCCTCCCTGGGGGACGGACAACAGAAAAGTGGGTGAAGGGAGACGTGGGACAGTGTTAGATATGACAAAATAATGATTTGTAAATTATTAAGGGTTCATGGGGGAGGGTGTAGCAGGGAGCGAGGGGTAAAAAATGAGTTGATGCCAGGGGCTTACATGGAGAGCAAATGTTGTGAGAATGATGAGGGTAATGAATGTACAAATGTGCTTTATACAACTGATGTATGTATGGATTATGATAAGAGTTGTATGAGCCTCCAATAAAATGATTAAAAAAAAGATGATTATGTGACATTTGAGCAAAGATTGAAGGTGGTGAAGAAGGAAACCAAGTGGCTATATGACAAGAGCATCACAGGAGGGGATGGAGTCAAAGGCCCAGAGGCAGGGGAATGGCTGGAGTGTTCTAGGTACAGTCAAGGGACCAGTCCACAAACAGTCAAGAGGAGCTGTGAGTAGAAGATGAGGCCAGAGAGAAAACGGAAATGAGATCACACAGAGCAAGTTACTGTGTATTTTGTTTTTTTCTCTGAGTGAAGTGGAAAGATTTTAGAAGCGTGGAACATGACCTGATAAGACTTTAAATAAACCATTGTGTGGTAGTTGAATTTATACACTGAATTTATAAAGTACATGATGATGTTAAGAAGGAGAAGAAAAAGAGAAACAGGAATGAAGAAAAGAAAGAAGGGAAAAAAGAGGAAAGAAAATGGGAAGGAATAGGACGGAGAGTAATTCCATATTTTACTAAAATTACCAAGTAAAAATAGGCATTTTTGAAAAACAGCATTTTTGTAATGCCCTCCAAAATAATAGTCTAGAAAAAGTTATGTATGGGGGAAAATCAAGTAGAGGTTATTGTCAATAAGATATTCAAAAGGTGCCAAAATATCATCTCATAGATAGCTTAACAATTTCAAAGAAGAACATTACTTTTGTAAATATGAGCTCTGGTGGGTCACCACATTAACTGAGTATCCAAACACCCTCACCTCTCTTAGGTCAACCTGACATTATACAACCCTTGCTGTGACACAACATAAAGTAGGTATCACCTATAAAATATATTCACCACAGGTATTTAACTGTGATCAAGGCTTTAGACCCAACTTCCAATTTCTAGGAAAATTGGGAAGAAAGGAACAAGCTGACTGAGTCCATGAGGGACAGTCTGATAAGCTAAATGTCCTAGGGCGTGGAGAGGAAGGAGGGGTGTTGTGGAGATGAGGAGAGAATACAAAGACAATAATCAAATCGAATGCATGAGTCCTGATTGACTCCTGGATCAGACCCAAAAAAGGAAGTATAAAAGACATTTTCTATACATCTTTTAACTTTTCTATATGCTTGAAACA